TTTGGCCAAAATTAAAAATTTTACTTGTCATTTGGTCCAGTAATGCATATCACTTAACTGGACCAAACCAATTTTTACTGGACTTTGCCCAATGCAATGTCTGGCGACCTTGGGAATGACTGATTAAGACTTTGGGATGGTTTAGAGCGCTGGTTCATCCAATTTATTCAAACTGAAGAATAAATGATTTATTAAACATTTTGTGCTTTTACCATGTTTACTTTCTTGATTTCATGTTGTTTAGTGTGTATGTTATACATCATTTTGTACATGTTATATAGTGGTACTGTTTTAATACTACATGCATACGAAATTGTGTAACAACCACACATGGAAAATCTTTTAGCCAATAACACAGATTGTTTAAAAACGAAAACATAATAGTACATAGTACATTTGTACTGTAAATATTAATCTGAATAAATAACGGTAGTTGCTCCAATTTCCAAAAATATCAATGTGCAATTATAACTTCAAAATTTGATGCTCTTATCTCTCCTGAGGTAATATAAAAAGCCACAAAATGATGAAGTTATTATTGGTTTATCCACAAACTATTTGAATTCCGTAACCTATATATAGGAAACCCAGATAAAGGTCTACAGAATAATCGGAAACCTATAGCTATCATTGCACATTGGATAAGAAATGAAATTAAATGGTCTAGGCATGCCATACGTCAATCTCATTATATAAAAAGATTGACAAATATATATACTGTATTGTACTTAAAGCGCGGAATTCACTATGTGATCCGTGTAAACTCATCGAACCTTTAAACAAACTTATTAGTAAAGGTTATCTTACCAATGTTGTAATTAGATCTTTGAATATAGTTTACATTGGCACTAATATTGATTTTGTCATCAGCAAATTAACACATAACTAAATTTGTATTTTTTTCAAGTGGGATGTATAAAGACACACCCACTTTTGTTTAGATCTATAAAGAGGTTAAACTCCTAACTATCCTACTGTCTGTCGATACATTTATTTTTGGCATTGCACTAGTCATGTCTTCTTTGACTGTCCATGACATTAAAATACTAAATCCCTGGGATGTGTTTTAGTTAATTTTAGTCTCAGATGCATGATATTTTATTATTAATTGTTTTGGCTTTTAACTAGCTGTCAGTAACTGCGAGTACTCTCAAATCGTACTTTCTTGTTTATTTGACCTGTTGATACTAATTGTATTGCTTTTTTATTATTTAATGTTATTCAGGGTTATATCTGGTCTATATACCAGCTTTGATAAGTGTTTGGTATAACTATAAATTTTCACTTCGTACTATGAACATCAAAATTATTTATTTTGTAAAAATATTTCCTTTCTCTATTGGTACTGTACACGTATACCTAACAACAAAATTATTTTCATTTATCTGTGTTTAAAGTTATTGCAAATGTCTGATATTTTTGTTCGAGCATATTATTTTTCTTTAATTGTTTAACATTTCTTACCGATATAACATGTTACTTTTATTATTCTTCCCTTAGTTTATTTATTTTGTATTTACATTGTGTCATAGGTCAAATTTATTTGTTCAGTGTATGTTCAATGGTGTTAATATGTCCTTTGATTGAGTTAAGCTATTTCAGTTGATATTTTATAGTGTGTCTTTCTATGTTGTGATGTTACTCTATTGTTTCAGAAAAAGGGTGAAGGTTTGGTACCATTAAAACGTTTAAACCCGCTGCATTTGTTTGCACCTGTCCTAAGTCAGGAATCTGATGTTCAGTAGTTGTCGTTTGTTGATGTGGTTCATAAGTGTTTCTCGTTTCTCGTTTTTTATTTAGATTAGACCGTTGGTTTACCCGTTTGAATGGTTTTACACTAGTAATTTTTTTGGGGCCCTTTATAGCTTACTGTTCGGTGTGAGCCAAGGTTCCGTGTTGAAGACCGTACTGTGACCTATAATGGTTTACTTTTATAAATTTTGACTTGGATGGATAGTTGTCTCATTGGCACTCATACCACATCTTCTTATATCTATGTAGCATTTTTTTTTTTAATCTGCCTTAACTAACTGAATAAAATAAAGTACATAGTGGGCTTCTAAGTCATTTGGTGTCTGGTGGAGAGTTTTCTCATTGGCAATCCTACCACATCTTCTTATTTTTGAAATAGGTGATCAAAAACAATTTGTGAAGGATCTTAATTGGTAGTTATAAACTAGGGAAAATTCAAGTTATGAGGAAAAATAGAACTATGATTCATTCAATGCTGTCATACTACATGTATTAGTCTACATATGTCTTCCTAATATTGTTCTAACTTTACCAGAGATAATACAGAAAAGTTCAGTACTGTGATAAACATTTGATGTTTCTTTGGTACATTTTTCTGATTTTTGTGTACTCCCCATTTGAAAATCCTAGATCTGCTGTTGTAATGCATCTAAGATTACGAAGTTTGTCTGTTCTTGGTTCTTTCTTTCATGCTTTTCTATGCTCTATGGTCGGGTTGTTGTCTCTTTGACACATTCCCCATTTCCATTCTCAATTTTATTAGAATTTGATGTCAGATTTAAACTTGTCTGGATTTTGTGTGATATTTTTCTTGCCATTAAATGCTGGAATTTATCTTCTGTTGATCACCTTGTGTTTATTTATTTTGTGAACATATTGGAATCTTTTATCAAAGTACATTTGTGAAGCTATTTCCTTTTCCTTGACTGCCTGGCCATTACTTGATTGTCTTAAAGCCTTAAGGTACAATGCAAGTTAACAACAACATAAAAATATATTTTATCAGGCTGATGGGCATTTTAAGAAAAGATTTTAAACACTAGTTATTGGTTTTTGCCTTGTTGAAGTGCATTCTATACATTTTCTAAAAATACATACATCTGTGGATTTGTTATTACTTTTTTTATGGTTTTTCATGGGTTCCCAATTTAAGATTTCAAAGAAGTAAGAATTCCTGTAAGCTTGTTTGCAGACTTTGGCAAAACCATGAAAATACAATTTTTCTTCAATCCACCCAAAACTGTTGCAGAAGAAAATAAAAGTATCAACGTTAAAGGGAAAGTCCCATATGTGAGGTTAACCTGTTTATCAGGAAGTGGTACTGGTAGATATTAAACTGCCTTATTGTTCAAACTCTCATGTTTACCGAGTAACACTGATTATGGCTCTGTTAATTAATGCAGTGACGGGAAAGGAATGCTTGCAGCATTGTTACATTGTACTAAGATTGCTGGCACAATTTATTGAATTTATATGTTTTCCTTCTCAATCAACTGAATTCCATTTAAACATAAATCAATGAAGAAATCTTGAGAATGTCAATGCACTTTAAAAAGGTTGAATTGATGCAATAAAAAGAAATGTTACAATCAATTTCGTGACAGCAAGTCTTTTACTTCCTGCTAACAACTGCATTATACAGCTTTCCAAATATTGCATTCTTGTGACAATTACTGTACTTGTAAATAGGGCTTAGAGAAAATCTATAAAATTGAGAATGGAAATGGGGAATGTGTCAAAGAGACAACAACCCGACCACAGAACAGACAACAGCAGAAGGCCACCAACAGGTCTTCAATGCAGCGAGAAATTCCCGCACCCGGAGGCGTCCTTCAGCTGGCCCCTAAACAAATATATATACTAGTTCAGTGATAATGAACGCCATACTAAACTCCAAATTGTACACAAGAAACTAAAATTAAAAATAATACAAGACTAACAAAGGCTAGAGGCTCCTGACTTGGGACAGGCGCAAAAATGCGGCGGGGTTAAACATGTTTATGAGATCTCAACCTTGTTCCTTTAAACATGATTGACGTTAATTTTCATGGCAATCTTCATGTTTGAATAGGAATATTTAAGTCTGACTTTGTCTCCTGTATAAACTAGTTGAACTTTGTTTTTAAAAGGTATAAAAGATTAGGCTGTAAACAGTTTTTTTTTGGGGGGGGATTTTTTACCTTCATGAGACAAAAATGCATAGGGCATTATAACAAATTAGACTGTTTCTCTTGTGTTACATTTGTAATACACCAAATGGCACTGTTATGTTTTTGTTACATTTGTAATACCCCAAATTAGGCTGTTACTCTTGTGTTACATTTTTAATACACCAAATGGCACTGTTACTCCTGTGTTACATTTGTAATACACCAAATGGCACTGTTACTCTTGTGTGACTTGTGTAATACACCATTTGGCACTTCCTCTTGTGTTACATTTGTTATACACCAAATGGCACTGTTTCTCTTGGGTTGCATGTGTAATACACCAAATGGCACTGTTACTCTTGTGTTACATGTGTAATACACCAAAATGGCACTGTTACTCTTGTGTTACATGTGTAATACACCAACTGGCACTGTTTCTCTTGTGTTACATTTGTAATACACCAACTGGCACTGTTACTCGTGTGTTACATGTGTAATACACCAACTGGCACTGTTACTCTTTTATTACATGTGTAATACACCAAATGGCACTGTTACTCTTGTGTTACATTTGTAATGTACACCAAATGGCACTGTTACTCTTGTGTTACATTTGTAATACACCAAAATGCACTGTTTCTCTTGTGTTACATTTGTAATACACCAAATGGCACTGTTACTCTTGTGTTCCATTTGTAATACACCAAATTAGAATGTTACTCTTGTGTTACATTTGTAATACACCAAGTTAGAATGTTACTCTTTTGTTACATTTGTAAAATTCTTAAGATTTCTGACACTGGAAAAGGAGAATTAATGAGAAATCTGAGTCAGGAATGGTCAACAATGCCTTGAATATTTTTGGCCTTAGTGATGTCCTTTTGCATTTCAGTGGCCATTTTGACATTTTATCATCAAGACAATGCTGTTTTGAACAAATACAATATAAGAAACACATCTACAGAAATGGTGCTGACACAATGTTATGCAACAATCAATCATTATACAGAAAGGGTCAATTTCATCATTGTTAATGATTCAAGCAAAAGTAAACATTTTAGTGTGATTGGTCATAAAAAAATGTCTTATCTTTTTCAGGGCTCCATCTGGCAACCCTCATGACGCAAATTCTCCATATAAAAGGACTAGACCACAAAGTCCTTCCCAAGCACAGAGGCCTGGTGGCTACCCGTACCCAACAGACCCCCAGGGACATACAAGATATGGACTAGCTGCCACCACACCTGGTTATCCCATGTACAGAGAGACATACCAAGTAAGTATACTCTATAAAGGGCTGGGGACCAAACAGTCTTGTAGACCACAAGGCTCATGTCAGACCAATGGACCAGTTTCAACACTAAATCATGAGTCTTTTTTTTTAGACTGCCACTTATTTGTGTACTACAATAGAGTCATTTTCCTTGATAGTTTCTGGAATTTAAATCAACAGGGACCATTAAAATGTTGTAGTACATTCTATACTGTTTGAAGCCATTTGGTGCAATGATACTTTTATATAAAATATAGCAAAGTCATAGATTATGAGTTCTGTCACATAAAAGTGACAATTAGTCAATAACTTGCATGTTAAATCTGTATATCCCTACAGGGATTATAACACTTGCAGACATGTGACAAAGTTGCCTGTCACAACCGGAGATTTGAAAATTTTCAGCTGGAGTTTTGGTACCATAATTAGAAATATTTGTATTTGACATATATTGACATTTTTCTGTGTTAATTTTGATAGTAAAACTAAATACATCCCATTTTTGTAAGACGAGTCTTAAGCAAATTAAATTTAAGAGCATATTTATTTGACTATTAGCTCATTTACAGTAAAATCTCTATACATGTTAAATTAAGGCATCTTTATTACTGCTGATCTTTTCCTATAGCTACTTTCCAATTGCTTGTAGAAAAAATTTCTTTACATGCACATTCTTTGTGTTTAATAGCAGCTAAATACCAACTGAAATGTAATTGAAAATTGGGATTACAGGCAATAAAATTAATTACATTAAATTGCTTTCAAAATTGTAATTATTTTATGTTAATTACAATAACTTCTTTCAATTATCCCAAGTCTGGTCTGCAGTCAGAGACTCAAGGTTCACCACAAGGTATTTAAAAGTAAGAGCAAAGTGGTCACCTTGAAGTCTCAATAATGTCCAGGGAGGAAGACGTCTTCCTGGGGACTGTTACATTGTGAACCAGCATGTTAAAAATCTGGCTTTACATCTAGTTACACTCTAGTACAAAGCAGGGTTCATATTAAGTGCCAGGCTACCTAAGAATCAGGCAGTGGTGAAAACATGACAAATAAAACCCAACTGAAGTTAACATTGATTTCAGTTCATAATAGGTAGAAATGCATGAAAAAAACTTTGAATTGCTTGATCCTTGCACCACATATCTCTTTAACATGTTCTTGTCCTAATATGCATGAAATATTTGCCACTGGACACTAATCCATCTCTAATCACATCATAGAATGATATGTAACAGAGATAGTTAAATTTACAACAATAAAATATAAAATAGTTATTTCCTGTCTTATCCAGTACTTAAAGGGAAAGTCCGCGATTTTTTACTTATCATCTAAATATGTTCATCTTAACATAAAAAACACATTCACAAAGTTTTAAATTTATATTCTTTCTAATAACGGAGAAAATCAAGTATTTGCAACTTTTTTGGTTGACCTACGTCACTGGGTTATGATGTTTTAACCCGATTTGTTGAATCATGGGAAAAAATAAAATCTGTTAAAGTCTTAATTGCTTATCAGAATTTTACGTAATTAAAAGCGCACAGATGACCGTTGGTCGTAGTTAATAACCACAATATAAGAATGAAAGAAAATGAATATGTGTGTACCGTTTTGTATTGATTGAATAAAACTTCCTATATGAAGTTATCTAAATATAAATATTTTCAAATTAATTTCATAAATTATTGAGATTTTTTCATAAAATATCTATATAGATATAGGAAGATGTGGTATGAGTGCCAATGAGACAACTCTCCATCCAAGTTACAATTTATAAAAGTAAACCATTATAGGTCAAGGTACGGCTTTCAACACGGAGCATTGGCTCACACCGAACAGCAAGCTATAAAGGGCCCCAAAAAATTACAAGTGTAAAACCATTCAAACAGAAAAACCAACGGTCTAATCTATAAAAAAACGAGAAACGAGAAACATGTATGAACTACATAAACAGACGACAACTACTGTTATCAGATTCCTGACTTAGGACAGGTGCAAACATTTGCAGCGGGATTAAACGTTTTAATGGTACCAAACCTTCTCCCTTTTCTGAAACAATAGTATAACATCACAACATAGAAAAACACACCATAAAATATCAATTGGAAGGCTTAACTCAATCAAAAAACGTAAGTTAACATACACAATGAACGAATAAATTTGACCTGTGACACTATAGAACATTTTTACTGATATTGAACAGAAAATATTTTAAGTTTTATTTACCGTTATAACTTTGATAACCATTTCAATGCAAAGTATTTGTGAACAGAGTGTGTATATTATTTTGTAAAGTCATTGTTTATTTCTCGATTTGAGGAGAATTCGTTTGAACTTTACCTTGCAGCAATTTAGCCTCAGGTGTACACAGGTGTGAATTCAAGCGTACACAGGTGTGAATATTGTCATTTTGAATGGATTAACAGAAAGAGTATAGCGTGTTTAATATACCCAGATGAAATACCCGATGACAATAGAGAAACATTAATTAAATTGTATAAATTAATTGAAAATTAACATTCAACTTATTAATTCCGGAAGTGTTACAATATTAAAATGGAACAATTTTCGGTAATGTTCTATGCAATTAGCATAAAGTTAAGATATGAAGTTAAAAGAAAAGTACTTTTAATCTTAAAAATTAAATGTTACATTTCCCAATTAATAATCATTGCACATCTGTTTAATTTACTTTACCGGAATTCTTTAACTTGTATTTAAATCTGGCGATGTTTAAATGCTAACAATCGTAAAACTATCGCAATTTTAAAGTTTTTAATTGAAAAAATACAACAGTACAACATGCATGATTTTTTTTAATTTTCTTATTAACATTTCATTCTTACATAATTAAATTCATTTGACAATCACTTAGACAAATTATTTGTGAAAAGAATACCAATTATCGTTTATTTCATTAATGAATATACATACATTATAAATCTAAGCTAATACATTAATTTGTTTGAGGATTTTTTTTAGGATAGCCGTCATTAATCCAAATTAGTAATACAGTTGTTGTAATTAAAGGCATATCTTAGTAATGTATTACTGATATTGACGATTTTAGACTGACAGTTCGTCCCAACCTCATTGTTCTTGAAACAATCTTTACTAGTATACTTGTAAGTTTCCTGACGTATAAGCACCATTGAGGATGAGCTCCAGAGATAGCAGACTAGTAGCGTATTTGTTTGTTGGGGCTGAGAGGCCATGCAACCACTTGTACAGATAAACAAGCTTATGTTGTCAACACTATCAGAAAGAGTTCCCATTGTCGGATGGGGTATATGAAGGTTCCAAGAATGAACTATTGACATGTCTGACTCTGAACAGTTAGTAAACGGACTTAACAATGATCTATAGACATCGACCGCTTGTTCTTAATATTTGAAACTGCATGCATATATACGTGTATGAGAGTGATTATTTATCTTGTGTCTGACGAAAACTAAACGCCTGCATGGTTATATCTTGCCATACGTTTGTATTGGTTTGGTGGGTGTTCACTCAAAATCTTAATTCAAAAATTGTGTTTGTGAGATGTAGATTTACTTCAATACCGAATTTCGTCTATATATTTCACAAGTGTATACCATGAAGAACATCTGAAGGTATATTACTCCCATTTTGTTTGGGTGTGAACCATCGATGTTTACAGCAAAAGTTAATGAATAAGATGATGATGGTAGAAAGAACTATGAGCGTCATGTGGAAAATATTACATGCATGTCAGACCATGAGTTGTCAATCTGTATGAAAAGATTTCCAATACAACCATATTGAGTAGGAATTTTTGCATGCTATACTCTCGTATTAGTATTACAGGGTTCTTGTGTCGTTTAACTCAGACACACATCTTTTACTTTAAGATGTATGAAAGGTTCTAAATATATATATATATATATCTTAAATGTAACAATAATCAAACGCCTATAGGCAATCACTAAAATGGTATGAAGTTTTTATACAGATTTATTCTTATTTAATACACAATCATTAACAAACTAAATAAATTTAACAAAGTAACACCGTGACACTGCGATATAACAAATGGGATACTAATTATTTTTAACCATGCTATGCAGAAACTTAACACATCAAGCAGGAACATATATATTAATATACTGTTCCCAGCATCAAGTTAGTGCACGTGAATACCAATTAGGAACACGATGTGTGATTTTGTATAACTAAAAATATCAAAGCGAGCAATAACTTTGTCAAGCAAACATTTTTTTTCACTATGCCTCTCTTTATCTCCGCTCCTTTACAATAACTATTTCGCTTTTCGTCCATCAATCTCTATATTGTTCTCTATTCGGTTATTTTTTTTCACTATGCCACTCTATCTCCGCTCCTTTTTCCCCTGTCGTCCTAATCCTTATAAAGATAGGGACATAATAGACATAGAAGGGCTCTCTTATCTTCAATGAATTAATATTGATAGTGACTATAAGTGCTGCATTACTTTATATATCTGCATGTTTGCCAATCGACAAAAGCTTGTATTTGCGTGAAGAACTTTTTTTCTTCAAAAATATGGTCCAGAATCATGACAAAACAATATTCATTTCACAAAAATGTTCAAAGGTCATGTTTATAATTTTTTTTTAAACTTATTATCAGCAAAAATAGTGGATAATATTATTATCAGAACATCATTCATTTAAAGGTGGAATTATAATTTCAAACACACACAAGATAAACAAAGTTAGACACAAATATATGGTTCAATAAATGTTACCTGTGCACACCGGGTACTTCAATAAAGAGGCCATGGATGAACCTGTATTATATAATTGTGTAATACGAATTTTTAGTTGACAGGATGTCACTGGAATACCCAGGGACGTGTATCTAATATACGTCCTTGGAATACCTAACTGAATGTGTCGCTCTGACACGACATCTATCAATAATTCTGACATACCTATTATTAATTCGGGAGGAAGCCATACCAGAACATACCAGATAGAGTCACACATTTAACTGTAAAG